TACCTATATTTCCTTGGGTAACATCTGTTAAGTGGCTATCGTGTCAGATATGGTGTGAAGCATTTTTATCTTATTTAATGCAATCTTATCTTATTTAAAGCATTTTTATCTTATTTATCTTATTTAAAAGTCCTTACAGGACTTTTAGTGTAATGGACTTTTATTATAGTGTCCATCTCATAGGCAAGGAATCTGAGGTTCAAGGAGGGTAATACGCCTGAGGTGACACAGGTAATAAGTAGTGTTAAGCAAAGTGCCATTTTGCCTTTTGAGATTTACAAAGATTAAATGATAGGTATCAAAATGAAAAATATGCATCCCTTTGACCCAGCACTTTCACCTCTAAAATTTATCCCAGGACAATAATTGGGTAAGTGCACAAAGGACTTTTATAAGGACATTTAGTGCTGTATTATTTATAACAGCAAAAAACTGGGAACAACGTAAATGTTCTTCAACAGAGGATTGGCTAAATATGTAAAGACCTATCCATATACTATAAACCCAAGCAGCTCTTAAAAAGAATGAGATAGATCAATATGATTTGGCTTAGAAAGTTGTGGCCTAGCTCTACTGTTCAGTGGGAGAAAAAAAATTCAGGTTATAAAATAGCATGTAAATTGTGACTGTATCTTTGTCAAAAGAATTATGTTAATCAGAGAAAAATGTTTGAATGTGTTTGCTGTGGTTATTCTTGTGGAGGGGTTAGATGATAGCAGAGCCCATCAGTGTATCAGTGTACACCTGTGTATTATTTGATTATTCTTTTGGGTATAACTATTTGGAGCAGAAAAAAAAAAAGCAACAAATATTGTTGCATGCCTAAACTGACAAACCAGAACAAAAGCAGTAACGCTGCAGGATCATCCCCAGGGTAGGTACAAGATGGAGGCACGTATAGGAGAAAGATATGATAGAAGACTCTGTGCATGGGGTGGGGTTGTGCAGAAAGAAGACAGTGAGAGGCAGAGGAAAGGGGGCAGAAGGGAGAAAGGGAAAGGAGAGTAAAATGGACCAACAGGAAAGTAAATACAAGTTGAACAGTTGCAACAAAGTCAGCAAAGCCCTAGTGTTAGTAGGGAAGGTTCAACTTGGGGCTTTGCTGAGGGGTAGGATAGTGTAGCTAAGGATGGTTAAGATAGTTAAGAGCAGGGGCTCTGGAGTGGAGCAGTCCTGTTAGCGCTCACTAAACAGCCATGTTTTCTCCTATGGGTCCAACCTCTTTTGTGGTTAGGTTGGGGTCATGTGACTCATTCTTGCCACTGGACTCTGAGAGGAAGGGCTAAGGCCCTTAAGGATTGTAATACCTCCTTGATCACTTTCTTGCCCCTATGTAGAGGCTGCATGCCATGTGTTCCATCATGCTGAAGCAATAAGAAGTAGTCACCTAAGCCCAGGGGCCAGGATGGGATTGAGAAATAAACTTTTGTGGTCTTAAGACACTGCAATTTGGGGGGTTGCTTGTTTTTGCTGCTAGCGTTGCTTGCTCTAATATGCTTTGCTGTTTATTAGCTGTCTGACTTTAGACAGATGACTTAACTCTTTGAACATCAGTATTTCTTCTGTAATTGGAAATAATAATGGTACCTATCTCCTAGGGTTACTGGAGGATTAAATGGGAAAGTATACAATGTTAGGCTATTATGGTTATTTTTACATGTGTTGGGTATTATTTATTCATTTATTTTTGCCATCATTTACAGGAGGAATTGATGAATCAATTCCCCAAACAGGGCAACACCAAGGTCAGGGAAATGTCACTAGGTGACAGTAGGGCCAGTCCAAGGAGATCCTGTGGGACATATTAAGAGAAGTTGTAGAATCTAGACATGTAAGTGAAGAGGACTGAAGATACAGACCCAACTATCTGGCTAGTGATATGCCAACTTTTTGTCAGGGGAAGCACTGTTTGTTGGAATGAGGTTAAGTTATAGAGATAAGCTAGTTATCATTAGTTGTATCTCCATAAAAATGCCTACTAAATTTTCATCATAATAAAATAAGTTATGCTAATATAATTATTTTCCTGGGGCACCTGGGTAGCTCACTCGGTTAAGCGGTTAAGTGTCTACCTTTAGCTGAGGTCATGATCCTAGGGTTCTGGGATGGAGCCCTGCATCAGGCTCCCTGCTCAGCAGGGAGTCTGCTTCTCCCTCTCCCTCTGGCTGCCACTGCCCCTGCTTGTGCTCTCTTTCTCTCTCTGTCAAATAAATAAATAAAATCTTTGAAGAAATTATTTTCCTGGGGCACCTGAGTGGCTCAGTAGTTAAGCATCTGCCTTTGGCTCAGGTCATGATCCCAGGGTCCTGGGATTGAGCCCCGCATCAGGCTCCCTGCTCAGTGGGAAGCCTGATTCTCCCTCTCCCACTCCCCCTGCTTGTGTTCCCTCTCTCACTATGTCTCTCTCTTTCAAATAAATAAATCAAATCTTTAAAAAAAATTATTTTCCTGACATCTCAATTTAAGTGGCTATGGAAGGTGCTAATATTACTGATTGGTTGACCCTTTCAACCATTTGATCATCTTGGGGTAGGGACTCTGGGGATACTCGCCTTCTACCTAATCAGGGCTGAAGGGGGATGAAGTGTGTGGGCCTGTGTAGGCCTGTGTGCAGGGTTGGTGGTGGAGCAGGGAGGGTGTTATATATAAATACTGCATATGATAAATTTGGGGTAACTTGGAAATGCTGTTCTCCCCCCACCTCCCTGTCTTCCTTCATTTCCTTTCCTTTTGAAAAAGTAGCACATTTGCATTTAGCACAAGTATAACAGATGTCTTACTGAGACTTCTTTGAGTGCCATGATTGTATGGTTTTTTAAATAAAATCAAATGATTCTTGAGAGAACAAATTGTCAAAGTTACTCCCAGTCAGTGGTGGCTACAAAATATCTATAAGGAGTAGATTAGGAGTGGTAACCTGGTTGCCAGAGTGTGTTGGAAGCTGGGTTTTCTTTTTTTTTTTTTTTTTTAAAGATTTATTTATTTATTTGAGAGAGTGAGAATGAGAGAGAGAGTACATGAGAGGGGGGAGGGCTAGAGGGAGAAGCAGGCTCCTTGCTGAGCAGGGAGCCTGATGCAGGACTCTATCCAGGGACTCCAGGATCATGACCTGAGCGGAAGGCAGTCGCTTAACCAACTGAGCTACCCAGGCGCCCCGGAAGCTGGGTTTTCATAGCATTACATGGGATTGAGAAAATGTCAACTTTCTCAATTTATAAAGGAGAGGGGATCTTTTTCTGGGGAGGAGAGGTTAAGACTCCCAACTGCACTGGATGTGGCCACTGCTTTCCGGCACTTACTATTTTACTCAGTACATTCTTTCAACAAATGTTTAATGAGCATCTACTACTGTGTTTTCGATACAGAGGTGATAAAGAGACTCTGTTCCTGAGACGATCACAACCCAGGAGAGACTGAGGGTGAGTTGTACAACCCCTGGGTCTTCTAAATACTCAAAAATCAGTGCCAGGTTGTTAGGGGCTCCCATTTTGCTCTGGCTCAATGGTGATACATACAGGGATCTGCCAGTTACAACTTACTGAGTAATACTGAAAAGCGATTTGTTCCAAGTAGCGAGTGAGAGCATTAGAACGTTCGCCCACTTTTACGGTGGTTGTAAAGACTGAAAACAAATGGGACCCCCGCCGTTTCACAGCTCAGCGTTTGCTGCTTGGACAAACTCCCTTCCATACGCTCACCCATCTCTGGTCAACTAAGGGAACCAGGGCGTCTCTTGTCTGGGTCAATCAGAACCCAGCCAGCATGTCTCTGATGCAACCATTCTCATCTTGTACAATGATTAACCCTAGACCAGCTCTTTTTATTTGATCATACAAAAATTGCTGTCGTCTTTCGGTCCTGACCAGAATCAAGGTCTCCACCCTTCAAGTGCGCGCCCCAGTTTGCCTCGCCAAGACATTTACTTCCCAGTCACTGGCATTTGGGGGCGCAGCTGGAGCCAACGCGCCGAGGCCGAGTAGTGTTCCACTGACAGCCTCTCTCTAGGAGAGGTAAAGGTGCATTCGCGGTGGGAGGCCCCGCCCAGGACAGACAAGCCAAGATCCTCCCAGGCTGCTGGTAAAACCCACGGTGGGACGACAGGAGGGTCCCGGGTTGAGCAAGATGTATCAGGTCTGCCCCACGCACTTAGTCCAGCAGGAGTGGCGGGGTGTGGGGGTGGAGGATAGCGCCAAGGCTTTTGAATGTGGGTGTAACTCCTCTTGGATCCCTCCCGAAGCGAGAGGTGAGGGCCCGGTTTGTGGGCTCTCAGCGGTGCCTGAAAGAGCAAGGACCACACCATCAACCCCCTCCCACCTCCCCATGCCCCGCCTCCCTGGTGTGACCACTTTTGATCCCGCCCCAGACAAAGGCAGTATGAACTCCAGCAGAACGAATAAGGGGATCAGGTTGCTCTCCCGGCCTCCCCTCACTGCCCCCTCCTTGATTCTCCCCTTCCCCACGTGACTCTCTGGAATCTTTGCCAAAGCGCCGAGTCTCTGGGTCCATTTTCACACCGAGCAAAGGAGAGAGGAAGGAGGCGAGGGAGGCAGAGGAAGGCGGAGCCTGTGTCCTTTAAACGCTGGAATCCAGAGGGGGCCTTATTTTGTGCGTATCCGAGCTCTCTCGTCCGAGTGGCATTGAGTTCAGGATCCTTTCCAGCCTCTCTAGCTCTCTCCTCCGTGCATTTAAAATTATGGCTCCTCCTGCACTCCCGTAATCACACCTCAACCCTGCAGACCAGCTCCGGGTGGACGGGTGCGGAGGTGGCAGTCGGCGTGGAGCAAGCCGCGCCCCCGCAGCCCTCCTCAGCCCGGAGAGGGGCGGAGGCGAGAAAAGTAGCAGCAGCGCCCCCCCGCGTCGCCACCCCCGTGTTTTCCGCGGAAGCTTTCGAACAGTCTGCGGCAGCGAGCGCAGCCCGAGGCGGCGCCGTGCGGCTGCAGCGCCGCCGAGTCCCGGGAGCCGCCCGCAGCGCTGCACAAAGTTTCCTGCGAGCGGCCGCTGGGGGCTGAGGTCCGCCGAGCCGGGTGGCCCAGCCAAGGGGTGGGTGGGTCTTTCTGGGCGCCTGGCGACCCCCTCTGCCGACGCAGCGCCGACGTAGAGTGTCAAGCGAACTTTAAAAAGCTGCTCCAGAGCAACCTGCGCGGGGATCTCCACGGTCGGGGACCCTGGAGCGGAGGGGTCCAGTCTGAGGGAAATGCTGGGAGGTCCGATCAGCCGGTGACGGGAACTTTCCCGCGAGTCTACCGAGGAGAACTGCGCTCTGCCTCCTCCTTCATTTTCCCAAGCTCAGCCCACATTGGCGACCAGCTTCGCTGGAGAGCTGCGCGCTCTCCGCCCCGGCAGTGAGTGAATTGAATCCCCCGCCCTGCCCGGCGCCTCGGAGCTGCTGAAGAGTGTCGCTCAGGGCCGGTTCAGCGCTGCATTTCCCCGGAGGCAACCGCCCGCCAACCCTCGCTCTCCGTGCGCGCTGGCCCGGGGCGCCGGAGCCGGTGTTTGAGGCGGGAGCTGGTTCTTGGATGCTGAAGGCTGGGCTCTTCCAGTGTGGGTGTCGAAGGGGCAATGGGTGCCTTCAAAGTGTGGCTCGGGGTGGCCCTAGCATTGGCGGGATTTGCAGCATTGCCTCATCATTCCGAAGGTGAGAGAACGGTGCCTTTTTTTTTTTCCCTTGGTGTGTGTGTGTGTGTGTGTGTGAGAGAGAGAGAGATCGTGCTGTTTAAAAAGCCAAGCGGGTTTATGGTATTGTGGGTCGGGTGGAAGTTTTTTCGGGGGTTGGTGGGTGGGTGGGAGTGGAGCTGGAGTGGGCTTTTTCTGAGATTCCTATTCCTGATTGTTTTGCATTCCGATCACAAGCTCTTCCGATCTCCCGCCTCCCTCTCTGCCCTAAGTGCATTTGGGTGGGTGGGTGGCCAATTGAGGTGGCATCTCTGAGATTGGATTCTCTTTTTTCCCACTTCCCCGCTGCCCCCAACGGAAAGCAACTACGTGAAGCGTAGGCGAGGAGCGGACAATTGCTATTACCTGGGTAAAAATACCTCCGCTCCTATGAAACATAAAATCCGGCACCTTAAAACCCTCGCCACTCTCTCTCCCTCCTCGCCCCAGTAAGTCTCTCTGTAAAGTCCGGTAAAGATTTTATAACTAGACGGTTAGAGCGCGTTCTGGACGTAGACAATTCAAATGCACTGAGAGGAGCCTCTCCAGTACCGAGAGGCACGAGCCTGCCTGCTTTCTTAGAAAAAAAAAAAGTGATTAATAAGAGTTTAGCTTCATTCTCTTAGTTCGCCCTCATTCCCGGTTTTCCTCCAGGGCTCCAACCTGTGTGTAAAACCCCGAGCTGAGGGAGTGAAAGGAGACGGTGGGAATTGTCGCCATGATAGCAAAAGCAGCCTGGGTTCAGACAAATAAATGAATCAATAACTAAATTAAGAGTTTGGGGGTCAAGGGATGGCTGGTCCCGGGATGCGAGGCGCTGTGAGCTCCCACCTGCTCCGAGAAATCGGCGAAGTCCTTTAGCTAGTGCTTAGAGAGGGGGAAGGGAGCCAGCGGGCAAGGAAGAAGAAGGCTCAATCCACCGTGCTGGGCTCTCGGCTTCCCCTCCCGACTCCATTCGTTATTCATCCAGCTGCGGGAAGAAGAGTTCACCTGCTCCGCCGCAAATCAGAGCCGCAGCTGCGGCAGGCGCGGGGCGGGGCGCCTTCGCCCTGCTGCGGGCTTGGGGCGGCTTGAAGGTGCAGAGCCCCGGCGCGGGGGCTGGGGGCGGCGGGAGGCCAGGCAGAGGACAGAGCTCTGCCTTGGATCGACCTCCAGCCATCAGAGCAGCTGCCGTTTCCTTGCTAGTTTCCCTGGAGAAAGTGGCGTGGCCTTGGGAGTCCGCGCACAGTACTGGGGACTTTACCGTGGGTAAAGGTATCGCCTGCCCGCACCCTCCCGGGAAGTATGTTAAGCATTTTCCATAGGAAAAGCACGTCTGGGGCCTGTGCAGCTGTCTCCAAATGGGTCATAACCTGTAGAAATATGTCTGTATTGTATGTGCGCGTGTGTGTGCACACTTAAAAAAAATAAAACTTACAGGGCTTAATTATAATGATAAATCAGATGGGAGAGTTAACCCAGGCCACCTAAATCTGAATTTGAGACTTAGAAACATTATGTTTTCACTTGGTGGTGGCAATTTCTTATTTAGAATCATCCCAGCAACGCGGAAAACGTGCTCTCTCTCCCGGATAGCTCACCAGGGGGCAGTTGGAATGATGGCAGTTTTTCAGAACCAAATCTCTTGAAATTACAAAAGCCATTATTATTAAGAGCCTGCAGGGTTCGCTCTTTGGAAGACTGGTTGGTACAATGGGCAAAGTTTAAGAACGTCCAAAGTCTTTTGGTAGGGGAGGAGGAGGGCAGGACGTCAGGGGCGCTATTCCTCCAAAGATTCTTTAGGAACTTTGCTTCTTACAGTTTCACCCCACCTTCAGGACATTCTAGAATCATTTCACAAGTTGGATTGATAGATGTCTGAGAGTCTCCATCCAACTCAGAATGGTCCTTATCTAAGAATGAATGAATGAATGAATGTGGACATTTATTGAGCACATGTTATTTGGCTTCTGCTACGCCAAGCACTTTACATACATTATCTCATTTAATTAAGTTAATTAAGTGATATCAGGCCCACAGCCAAAAAAATCAGCTGTCATCTGATGAGACCTTTGATTTGGTTCTGTCGGGGTTTTCTTTTTCCCTTAAAAATAAGGGCATTGAAGTTGGAAAACTTAAAAGGATCTTACAGATTTCCTCAAGTTTTTATTATTAGTCTTGGCAATGATTTTTAAAAATGGAAGAGAAGTATTTACATGTGTGCTTCTCATGGTGTGACATACGGTTTGATACTTTTGCTGACCAAGCCATGGCAGAATTTGTGTTTTCTTCTTAGTGCTCAGAGAGCATCTCATACATGCTTCTAGAACACCAGTTAATAATTCTAAAGTTACATGGTTAAAGGTGCAGTTTCAGTCTTCCTCATGTAGCTGTGTGCTCACTGAGGGCTTAGGATGGCTCCTAATTATTCTTACATTTCCACATCACCTCCTAGTACATACAGGGTGCTAAAAAAATATTGGTCAGATGAATGAGTATTGCCTAATCACAGTCTTTTGAATTAAGCTTACACTGGCCTCTATTATAAACTGCTGTATGACCTTGAATGAACCGTTCTTTGGCCTGTGGTTCTGTCATTTACCAAATGCAGAAGTCGGCTGGCTAGGTGATAGCTGTAAGATGCTTTTACTAATCGTCCAGCATAGGGAAAAAGATCAACATTTGCTGCCTTATTTGTGGTCAGTTGCAACTTTCTGGTTCTGAATTTTACATTAGTTATTAAAAGAAAAATGAATTTTTACAAGCAAATCATTGGCAGTGTTTTTTTTTTTTTTTAAAGATTTTATTTATTTATTTGAGAGAGAGAATGAGAGAGAGAGAGCAGGAGAGGGGGGAGGGTCAGAGGGAGAAGCAGACTCCCTGCCGAGCAGGGAGCCCGATGCGGGACTCGATCCAGGGACTCCAGGATCATGACCTGAGCCGAAGGCAGTCGCTTAACCAACTGAGCCACCCAGGCACCCCGGCAGTGTTATTTTATACTGTCTTATATTGCTAAGCTGACAAACCACTATGATTTGAGAACTTAAATCAAGAAGTCACAGAGAAACTTCTAGCAAACATGACTGCTTTCTGAATCAGACCAGCTTTGCCATGACATTTTCTGGAGAAGCACATTTTGAATTGTGTTCACCCGTGGATATCCTGTGAAGTCACGCTGGATAGAACATGGTGGCTTGGAGATAGGAAAAGATTATCGAACTGGAGGTAGAGAGAATTGAGTTCTAGTCTGTGTCCTATAACTCTCCATGTGGCTTAGTCAATCCCACAATCTTCCAGACTTTTCCTATAAATGAATGCCATTAACAGAATACGTTGGAAGAGATCATTTGATAAACGATGTGTTTTACTTATGGGTAGATCAGCATATTTGGTTCTACTCTTAGCTGGAGAGTTCCTTCTGTGTAAGATCTAATCTTTAAAAACCAAAGTGAATAAAGAAAAGACATTGGCTGGGGAAAATAGCCTATCTCTTCATTCTTTCATTCCACAAATCTTTATTGAGAGCTTATGTGTATGGTTATGTCTGGTAGGGGGAATACAAATATTAAAAAAGCATACTACGTGTCCTGAAGAAGTTTGCATCCCCAGTAATTGTTAATATCAGTAAAGTAGAAGTAGGGATATGTGAACATTGGTCCTTGGTGGGTTTCCCAATACTGAATAATTGCACTTTTGGCTTTTGTAACTACCTGCTAGTGAAAGTAAAGAGGTGTATTGTCACAGGCTATTTCCATTTCTCTTCTCCTCTAGGGATTAGATCCTACATGTACATTTTTCCGTGAGGCCAGAGCCATCTGCATTCACTGTTATGGACTCGAGTGGTAATATCCCTCAATTTCACTCAGACACAAGTAGTCATAAATACCCTCCACCACATGGCTCAGGAGAAGGGAGGAGAACACCACATGGCAAAGTTGGAGTTGTGTGCCAAATCTTACAATAGTTCAAAAACAGTTGGCCCATTTTCATTTTAACTACTCTATTAATTGATCTGAATCCTGGTTTACAATAATCAGGGCATGAGCTGTCCTGTCAGTCCAGAAAACAATTCTATTTTAACTATTCCATGGTGTACAAGCCGTATGCTGAATTATAACACAACATAAAGCTTGAACATTTAAATGCTAACTTGTGGCTGCTTGTTCCTAATGAGTCATATTTTTGTGATACCATGCTCTCCAAATCTCTTCATATCTTATGGCCATACATACCACTCTGTCTTTGAACTAATGGGCCTGATGTTTTCTGGCTCTTGGATTTAACTTCTCTAATTTACTCAGTTTACCAGGTATAGTTTCTGTAGTGAATAATTTCTGGATGTGAGTACTGGTACAAATTAGATTTCAAATTTTCTCTGAAAACTTTAGATTTTGTGCAAGTATCTCATAAAAGAGCATATGATAATGTGAAAAAGGGCTTAAAAATAGACATTTACTTATTTACATGAACTTGAAGTAACATTTTACCTATGTAACCTGCAAGACTGGAGTCAGCCACATGCAAGAAGATCTGAGGATCTGGGCATCCTTCTCGGCACTGTGTGGGATCACTTCACCCGGCAAAACTTTCTGCGCTTTTCTCATAGAGTGTTGGAATTTAAATTACCCACTATCTCAGTTGTATTCTATGCCTTAAAACTGGCAAAGTTCGTGGCCAGAGAATCCTAGCTTGTGTTGTCTCTTATTTTTCCTGTTTTCTCTTGAAGAAGCCCTGTTTCTTTTTCCAGATCCTCACCATGGGTCAGAATTCACCTTGAGCTGGAGTTTCCTCTAAAGCGCAAATTAAGGTGTAAATCTAAAGCTCTGATAGACCTGTACTGCTTTAGAAAAAAAGGCAATGAGTGGAGAGAGTAACTCTCTCTCCATGTTTTCCATGTTACATGAGCCGATCAGTTGGTGAAAAGGCCTCTGCTCCAGGGCAGAACCAGAAGCCGCACCCAGCACCCCTGCCAACAGGCCTCCTAACTTCATCTGCCAGTGGGTGTGAGAAGTGGGCTAGTGTGGGAGAAATATGCTTGCTTTGGAGGACCGCATCTGGCACTGGGTGGTGATAAATGTTTGATAGGACCGGGCATCACACTGGGATGCCGTATTTTCTCCGGGGAGTAGAAATGAACTTTTGGAAGCTGTGTTAGTGGAGATGCAGCTACCTTCCGGGTAGAGCTGTTCCGTGTTAGGAAAGCCCTCCGAGGGCAAAGCTTATTTCTTTTGGAATTGTACATCAGAGAGCGACCCAAATTGAGTTATTTCCTTTTCCTAATGATGGAATTTATCAGCAGTTACATACCGTTTTGACTGGAGTCTCTAGGAGATGCTTGGCTTAACCAAGTATGCATGTGGTGCCACACTCAAAGCTGCTTCATTTTTTTATGTTATGGTGGGCTTATAACATCTGTCTAACTTTCCAGGCATGGGTTTTGATGTGGGTAGTTGGATATTTCTTTTTTTTTTAATTAATTTTTATTTTATTTTTTTTATTATGTTATGTTAATCACCATACATTACATCATTAGTTTTTGATATAGTGTTCCATGATTCATTGTTTGTGTATAACACCCAGTGCTCCATGCAGCACTTGCCCTCTTTAATACCCATCACCAGGCTAACTGTAGTTGGATATTTCTTAAGTGACTTCATTCCTTTTGGAGCTTTGAAAAGGTAATTGGCTTTTGGAAGACAGTGCTAGGGAGGAGGGCAGTAAAATGATTTGAGGATGGTCTTATTCTAAAGGTTACATTTTGTTTGTTTATTCTAAAGTTTCAGTTTTGTTAAATTGTACCTCAGTGATGCTCTTTATGTTTATTTTTTAAACATCAGGAGTAATTAAATATGTCCATTTAAGTAATTTAGAAATCTAATTTTGTTGATATATATTTATTTGATCTTTATATGTATATACATATATATCATATAATTATTATATATACTTATATATATATACATATCTCTCATATGACATGCCATAGACTGAAATACTAAGTCTTTATTTCTCGAAGAGACATAAGTGAGTTAAGAAGAATTTTCTGCCAAGGTTTTATCTCAAGTTATTCTTGTTTGAATGTTAAGGGCGCAAAAGTCATTCCAATAAATTTGCTCATAGAGATCTTTGATTCAGACCCCAAGTGTAAATAGCCATCTCATTTCTTTGAAGATTGTTTTTGATTCCATTTTTGGTGGATAAGGCAGACCGGTCCTTTCCTGAGAAGTTAATATTTTTGAGATTTCACGAGTGATCTGTTGGAGGCCAGGCACTGTAGTAAAATGTGTCCTTCCCTCTTTGGACACCAAGTGCGGCCTATTGTCAAGATGTGCTTCTGCGGTGGCCTGTGTATGTTATTCTAATCTGTTTTATAGGTTCAGTTTCTGAGAGAGTAGCTGTTAGCACACTACCCACATGTTTCTAGGTTCAAAAAAAACACCTGTTGTGCTGTTCAAAGATTGGTTGAGAATGTGTTTGTTTTTTGAAATTGGGATTGCAGTTGTACATTGTTTTCAAATATAACACTTGGAAAGATTTATTTTATGATATGCTAGTTATTCAGAAAATATAGGCTGTCCCATTCACATTTAACCTTTTCCATTTCAAAGCAAATCATCTGTTGTTTTTTATTTGATGCTTAATGAATGGAAAATATAAAGATGTATCAATTCATAACCAGCCTATTAGAAAGCAAAATTGAGTGAAAAGAGGGTGAAAAGAGTATTGGAGTTTAAGAGCTCAACAGAAGAGTTCTTTCCAAGTAACTACAGTCTGCACTTCTCTCTATAAAATGTAATATCCCTAAAGAGGAACATACTGTGTGAAAGGCAAGAAATAGATAATCATCCAGATACCTAAGTGGATGCCTACTATGTGAAGAGTTAGGGAAGCCAAAGAAGGAAAAGCAGTCCCTCTCCCAAGAGTATATATAGACACTGTAATGGGGTAGATGCAAGAGTTCCACATGCTTAGCAAGGGTGCTGCAAGGAAGTACACAAGAATGAATTCACCAATGGGTGATGCAGGTACAGAGTGCTATGAAGGCAAAGGGGAAAGGGCATAATCCCATGGGCTAGAAAATTTCATGAAGGAGATGGGATCAAATTTAAGGAACTTGAATAGATCCAATGTGTCTTCTGCAGAAAACAAAAATGAGCAAAGGCATGGAGATATGGAAGTACTATCACCAGATCCTAAGTTGGCCTCTTGGGTCGGACTGGAGAATTTGTGTAAACAAAGAGTGGCAGAGAAGCCTGGATAAGTAAACTGGGACTAGATGAGGGAGGCTCTGCTGATTTATCATACAGAAAAATACACACTGTATACATAGCATGCCATTATAAATACATTTATTTTAAAATTCAAATAATAAGTTTTAATGATGCTTTCCCTTGTGCGTGTCCAAGAACCATTTGTTGTGTTGTATGGGGTTATTTCCCCAGGGGCAGGATGCTCAAGCTTTTCAGATTTTGGAAAAAGCACAATTTGCTGGCTATGATGCATGTAGATGGAGTTTTAGCGAAAATCTGTTGGAGCAGTTACGGTTGGTCTTTTTTGCATTCCTTTTAATTCTTGTTTTGTTTTTCCCTACAGGTGCTTGTGTCTATCAGGGTTCCTTGTTGGCGGTAGGTCATCCTTCATATATTTGGTTTATTTCTTTCGAATGTAAAATGCTTGACTGAGGCTGCTGAGTGAGTGAGGTGACCCTATCATTGTAAAAATATGTTTATTTTCCTTCACAGTTTGTGAGGATTATCCCTCATCTTGGCACAATCATGCTCAATTACTTAATACCTTTTCCAGAGTGAATTAGTTCCATTCGAATACTCAGGTATTGGAAAAGAAGTTCAAACACCCAACACAATTTGCATTACATGGCTGTCCTTTGTGTTCTTTCATTCAGAAAGAAAATTAGATCCCATTCTCCTGTCAGATATGAACTAGGGCACACTTTGTTTATCTTCTCGTTGCATTTGCTTCTTCCTTTGAACCTCCCCCTCCAAAAAAAAAAAAAGTACAGTTATTAAATTGAGTATAATGTGGAGGATTCCTGACTGTTGCTTTGAATTATGACTTTAAGTTTTGGTAAATAACAAGCAAATTAACATTTTATCTCTGAACTTTTGCCATGTAGGGTAGAGTTGATTTTGAATTTAATGTCATCATGACTTGGGGGAAAAGCTGATGATGCAAGTCTCAGGCATTTCTTTTCATTAATAATGTACTATGGTGCATAACAGTGTGTTAAAGCCTTATTGAAAAGACTGTCTACACTCCATCAATCCTAATAAATGGTGTGACAAGTCATTCTTCACCACTTTTTTATTTTGGTTTAATAAATGCTATAATAAAAACAGGACTGAAATGGTTGGTGAGGGTTTGCTCATTTACATCACAACCTGCTATTGACATGTGCGATATTAATAAGTCATCTTGGATTATCCTCATGGTGTTGAAATAGTTGAGAAATATCTGAAATATCCAACAGTCTAGATAATTGTAGATGTTCATAGTAATATTCTTGATTCTGAACTTTATGTAATATAGGTATTGCTCTGGAGTTTTATAGTTTTTTTTCCCTTCATATTTTTCCATTAAAGAATCAGGAGAAGGTTATTTTCCTTTTCTTTCTCATTCCATGCCCTTCAAAGCCTACTTTTCCTTGTGTTTCTTCTTTAATACATTTTTGGAATCATTTAAAAATCAAAGTGCTATAAAATATGTCACTAGTTTTGGGGAACTGTAGTATATATTATAGACAAGTCGGTTATCCATGTGAATACAAGGAGAATTGCTTACTGTATACAGTGCTTCATAATTTGTAAATATATTTTCATAGCTGTTGATCTATCCGTTACAATAGACGAGTGAAATAAGCAGACCGCATATTATTTTATACTCTCCCCCCTTTTAATGAAGAACCAAGGATGAGAGAGGTTTTAAGAGATTTGCTAAAGGTAAATTGACCATTAAGGGATTGACCAGAACAAGCCAACCTGTCTTTCCATTGTTCTCCCTGTATCTGGAGGAAAGTGGCTAGTCTGTCTTCTATATTTGGTGTTGCTCTGTGTTATTGTGCATTTGAATATGAAGGCATCAAGTACTTGGAGAGGGCAGTGCCATCCAATTCAAGGAGAGACTGTCTGGTCAATTTGCACTTAACAGGTGCCCTTGCTCTCCTCAGTTCCATGCCTTGGTTCCTTCCAGGACTATGGCTGCTCGGGGCTTGTAGGCTGCGCGGTAGCGCCCCAGCGCACCTCTCCTCCCCACCAGTTGACTTCTTTGCTTACCAAGACTCAGCCATGTGTGTTCCTAAACCTCCTCAAGCCGGATGTACTTATTATTGTAATTATGCAATTCAGTTAGAAAGAAAATACATTTATTACAATAATAAAGGTTATTATTAAACAAGTGTTTGTTGAGTAAAAACTGTGGACAACTGTGGGATTCTAGGCACCAGGAATGCATCAGTGAACAAACAGACAAAATCCTTGCCCTCATGAAGCTTGAATTCCAATGAGTAAAATATATAGAATGTCAGGTAAGTGCTATGGAAGAAAACAATAGGGGAGTGGGGAGATAGAAAATACCGAATAGAGAATGAGGGTGGCTCCTGCAAATAGGGTGATAGGGACGGCCTCCCTGAGAAGGTGACATTTGAGCAAAGACCTGAAAGTGGCCATTCTAAGAGCTAGTGTCCCTGGATGTCCAGGGAAATAAATTCCAGGGAAGGGGAAGAGCAGTGGTAAAGTCTGAAGCAGGAGCTTGCTTAGCCATTTGAAGAAGTGTACAGCGGTCCGAGTGGCTGCAGTGCACGATCCAGGGGCAGGATGAGGTCAGAGAGGCAGGCAGGAGCCTTGGATGGACTTGAGCTTGTCCCCTCGGTCAGGTGTACCGCTACTGGAGGAGCTACCGCAGAGGAATGACAGAGCCTGACTTATAGTTTAATTAAACTGCCGAAATGTGAATGTGAAAAGAAATAACGTTCTTGTTTCTAAGGAAACTATGGTGAATACTTTAAAAAGACTCCGTAGAGGTGAGTCACTAAAAATTTGCTGTCAAATTAAGTGTAAGAGGAACAACTATAAAAGACTGGGGAAAAACACAGAACTCTGGAGAGATTCTGCATTTGGATTTATTTGCAACCGTTTTAAGTTTTTTTCCATTTTAAGGAACTTCAAACTGGAAATCGTAGATGATGCACTGTGGACATAGTTAATTGTCTGCATAATTAATTGCTGTTCTCTCTCCACCTGATCTGGTCTTGGAGAAAGGCACTGAATGAAATTGAATGAATGTACGTTTTTGTATTTTGAATTAAGATAGAGAGTTTAAGAACATTTAGACTATTCTGGGATTTTCTGCTTGAACAACCCTTTAGGTGAGAGGGTTTCTATGGTAAGAGGCTTCATGGGCGGGAGGGTTGGCTCTGAGGATGGTGTTGGGATGTCCCTGTTCTAAACCCTGTAAATTGTACCCACACACATTTTAGAGCTAGGAGTGACTTCAGAGATCATGTAGTCTGAATTCTCCATATCATAGGTGAGAAAACTGGGCAAGGGATGTGAAGTTCTTGAACTTCATCTGTTTCTCAGGTGAGTAACCAGAAGTGGAGGGTGGGTCTGGTGGAAAACAGCAAAGCATCAGCTTTACCCAGAAGAATTTCCATAAAATGTATCTAGCAAAATGAGAACACGATCTGGGTACTGGCTGCTGGCTGCTAGCTGCTAGCTCCCAGCCTGTCTTGCGGGGATTTCTCCCACTGATACCTCTCCAGTCTCATCCCTTATTGCCTGGGAAGCTGTCAGATAGAGTGGAGCATTCATGATGCTTGTCACCGACGGACCTCGTTTTAATTCTTCCTCTTCTGCTACAAACCAGCTCTGTGACCTAGAGCAAGTTACATAACCTTCCTGAATCTCTAGCACCTCCTTTGTGAAATGGGGACAAATAAAGCCTCTCGTGAGGGGTTTTTGTAGAGTAAAGCAGATAATGTGGGGAGGATGCCCAGGTGCCCAGCCTGGCATGTGCTTTTCTGCCACAACAAAATTTCTCTTTACCAACCAAGAACAACAAAAAGAGGAAGGGAGCAGTTATTAAGCACCTACTATGTATTTCATACTGTCGACAATCCCAGGAAATAGGTGTTGTCTTTACAGATAAGGAAACTGAGGCTCAGAAAGTCTAAGTCACTTGTCCAGAAGTTATACAGGTGGTCAGTGCTAGAAGGAGAGAGCATTCAGACCCGGTTCTGACTCACCGAGCAGCCTGTTTCTCTCAGCCAAGTCAGTCTGCCTATTGTCTCTGAACACAACTGGCTTATTTCACCTTCAGTTCTATATGCCCACCCCCTCTCTGCTGCACCTGCCATGCAGTTGTCTCTGCCAGTCTCTGTCCTGACCTCCTGCAAAAGCCAGCTGTCCCTGGCTAACCCCTTCCCATTTAACTGAGGCTCTCCTACCCTGGTGTGTATTAGATCCACCACATGATGCAAGAAACGTTTGGAGGCAGTCATTCCATCTTAAAAATCTATATATGCTTTATTTTACACACACATACACACATGCACACACGTGCACACCCAACAATGTGTTGTGTCTCCCAACTTTGACAGCTGTATGGACTTGCGATTTGGTTCTAAACCTCGTGTAGCCATCTCTCAGTTACGTACTGATTCAGCTGTCTCTCTTCTCCTTTCTTTAACACTGCCTTCCCTACTTTTCTCTTTTTTCCATTCCTCAGGTCAAAAATTAACAGAAGGGAGTCAGAATACCCAGGAAGGTCCTATGCCTTGAGAAACACTGAATAATCTATTTTGGGGTATGTTTCTTACCCCACAATACCCCTGCACCCCTGGACTCTCAGGACTTTGTCTAAAGTCAGCCCTTGTGAAAGAGAGAGCATGACGATGTTAAATCAAGAATCTATCAGGAGGAAACCACCTAGTTCATATGTTTACCTGTGACGGGCATTGAGTGTGAAGAGAAAAATAATTTTTTTATTTCAATATTTTCACTTATCTTCACTATATTGAGTAAAAAGAATTTAACTTTCTTTTGGCATCACCACAAGTAAACATTTCTCCTTTATTAGATTTTTCCCTAGGGGTGGATGGTTGGATTCTTAACCTCAGTTTTTACATCTGTAAAATGGGGATGAACTATTTACTTCACAGGGTTGTTGTAAAAGCTAAAGGAGATCAATATGAAGCACTTAGCTCTCTGCTTGTGACCTACAACACTTAATGAAGGTTAGCTGCTGTTATCGTTGCCATAAGCATTTGTGATTGGAAGAGTTGCACAAAGCTATTCATTCTTCTTCCCTAGATCTAAAATGTTAAGTGTTGAAATTTTCCTACTTGGAGTACTTTTGCTCACAAATGCTGACAAAATAAATTATGAGACACTAAATTTTAACACATTTGAAAGAAAGAAAATAAATTCAGGGATAATTAAAAATGTGGAGTGTTTACTTCACTACTATATAGTATGACACAGTAGAAAGATCTAGGCTTTGGAGTTTGAATCCTGGTACTGCTACATACCCGCTGTGTGGCCTCAAGTATGATATTTTATACAGCCGAGTCTCAATTTCATCTTCTATATAATGAGGATTGTAATCTTCA